AATGCGAGACAAAAATCTTAAATATAGCTCCTAAATCAGAGATTCTCTCCCAGGTTGATTTAGAAGCTATATTTCAGATTTTTGTAAAAGATTTTGTATACACTTTAATAGTGTCTTCTATGTAACCTTAATCTTTACTATTTATTGCTGTAAAACCTAATTCATTTTCTATTGTGACACTTTTTTGAATTTCAAATTACATATGATACTAATTGGTAACGATTAAGTTGTGACATTTCAGCACTTTATTAATGTTGATCTATATTATTTATGTAGCTGTATCTACTTATATACCTTGTTTGGACATGTATTTTGCACTTCTATACTTCTATAATCCCTTATAGAGATGTAAAAAGAATACCATTGCTCTTATGTAATTGTTTGTAGAGATGTAAAGAGAGTGTGGAAAAGCCTAATTATAGTCTCTATTTTCCTTTTTTATTTTAACACCTTTTTTGTAATAGCCACAATGAGGGATGTCAGCTGTTGAGAGGAAAAATATTTTCCTTATGTAAGTAATTTTTTTTTTTTAAACATTTCTATCTGTTTATCTGTTCTTCCATATGGAATTTTTGATCTGTGTTCTGCAGGCTGCGCGCGCTTGTGGGTCCGTTTGCACATGCGCGGGTGTGGCATTCGTGCCATTGCGTTGATGCACATGCGCTCGGGTTATGCATTGGCGCGTGCGTGTTGGCATGGTGGCTTGGGTGGTTGTATGTGCGCATGTGCAGTTTACTCAGTTTGGAATAAATGTTACAAAAATGAATTCAAAGGAAATCTGTGTTTAATAAATGCTCCAAAAATGTCACCAAAGTAAACGTATGCACAAAAAAACTGAATAAACCAGTAAAATAATTGAATGCATTTCACACTGTGGGAGCATGTTAAATTATGTGAATGTACAGAAATTCATTAACTTTTTTACTTGATTATTTGTCAAAAAAATTGAGAGCAGTTTCAGATTCAACTTTATTATCACGGTACAATGTGCATAAAAGGACAATGAAACACAGTACATGGACAATGAAACACAGTACAAAGACAATGAAACACAGTACATGGACAATGAAACACAGTACAAAGACAATGAAACACAGTACAAGAACAATGAAACACAGTACAAAGACAAAGAAACACAGTACAAGGACAATGAAATACAGTACAAGGACAATGAAACACAGTACAAGGACAATGAAATACAGTTTGCTACATAAGGGGCTACATAGCCACAGACCAATCAGAGTGCTCACGATGACCCCTGTTCACTGCTGAAAGCTCCTTAAGTGGGGATGTGAGTGTCAGAACTGGACCATGGAGTAATAGAGGAAGGTTGCCTGGTCCGATGAATAACATTTTCTTTTAAATCTGGTTGATGGCTGGGTGAGTGTGTATTGTTTACCTGAAGAAGAGATGGCAGCAGGATGCACTATGGGAAGAATGCAGGCTGGCGGAGGCAGTGATATGCTCTGGGCAATGTTCTGCTGGGGAGCCTTAGGTCCTGGCATTCAGGTGGATGTTACTTTGACATATACCACCTTCCCAGAAATTGTTGCAAACCACATACACGCTTTCTTACCTAGATTTCAGTAAGGCTTTTGACACTGTTGCACATAGAAGGCTTATCAATAAACTGCAATCTTTAAGTTTGGATTCAAATATTGTTGAATGGGTAAGGCAGTGGCTGAATAACAGGCAACAGAGGGTTGTAGTTAATGGAATATATTCGAAGCTTGGACTTGTCACCAGTGGGGTACCTCAGGGATCTGTACTTGGACCCACTCTCTTTAATATTTTTATTAGTGATATTGCAGAAGGTCTTGATGGTAAGGTATGTCTTTTTGCTGATGATACTAAGATATGCAACAGGGTTGATGTTCCAGGAGGGATAAGCCAAATGGCAAATGATTTAGGTAAACTAGAAAAATGGTCAGAATTGTGGCAACTGACATTTAATGTGGATAAGTGCAAGATAATGCATCTTGGACGTAAAAACCCAAGGGCAGAGTACAAAATATTTGATAGAGTCCTAACCTCAACATCTGAGGAAAGGGATTTAGGGGTGATTATTTCTGACGACTTAAAGGTAGGCAGACAATGTAATAGAGCAGCAGGAAATGCCAGCAGAATGCTTGGTTGTATAGGGAGAGGTATTAGCAGTAGAAAGAGGGAAGTGCTCATGCCATTGTACAGAATACTGGTGAGACCTCACTTGGAGTATTGTACGCAGTACTGGAGACCGTATCTTCAGAAGGATATTGATACCTTAGAGAGAGTTCAGAGAAGGGCTACTAAACTGGTTCATGGATTGCGGGATAAAACTTACCAGGAAAGGTTAAAGGATCTTAACATGTATAGTTTGGAGGAAAGACGAGACAGGGGGGATATAATAGAAACATTTAAATATATAAAGGGAATCAACACAGTAAAGGAGGAGACTATATTTAAAAGAAGAAAAACTACCACAACAAGAGGACATAGTCTTAAACTAGAGGGACAAAGGTTTAAAAATAATATCAGGAAGTATTACTTTACTGAGAGGGTAGTGGATGCATGGAATAGCCTTCCAGCTGAAGTGGTAGAGGTTAACACAGTAAAGGAGTTTAAGCATGCATGGATAGGCATAAGGCTATCCTAACTATAAGATAAGGCTAGGGACTAATGAAAGTTTTTAGAAAATTGGGCAGACTAGATGGGCCGAATGGTTCTTATCTGCCGTCACATTCTATGTTTCTATGTTTCTATGTTTCTATGTTTCATGGCAGGAAAATGCATCCTGCCAAACTGCAAACAATGGTCAGGACTGGTTTGTAGAACATGACACATAGTTCAAGGTGTTCCTGGCCTCAAAATTTCTCAGATCTTAATCCAATTGTGCACGTCAGGTGTGCTGGAACAATGAATCCGATCCATGGAGATCCCACCTTGCAAATCGCAGGATTTAAATGATCTGCTGTTAATGTCTTGGTGCCAGATTACGTATTCAGAGATCTTGTGGTGTCCATGCCTCAATGCATTAGACCTGTTTTGGCAGCTTGAGGGGGACCTACATGATATTTGGCAGGTGGTTTTAATGTTCTGGCTGATCAGTGTATGTGCAAGAGAAATGAGTTATGTGTGAATATAGGGGAAAATAGTATTGATATATCCCTTGTAATTTACAAAAACCTTTTTTTTTTTTTTATTTACATGTCAATCATATCAAATAGTGTGGATTTTTTAAACTTTTCTAATCAAAGACTATTTCACACAGGATCTGATATACTAGCATAAATATTGTTACATACAAGTGATAGAAATAGATGAATACAACGGTCAAATATCCTATTTTTGGCCATTTGTATGCAGAGGGATATGAATGTATGAAATACCACCAGAATGCAAAATTAATATCTAACTTTGAGGATAATGCCAGTGCTCGTATAGGTAGGAGGTACAGGGCAATGCAGACCTGAGAAAAAAAAGAGAAAAAAAAAACCACACGAGGCATAAGGCTGTCCTAACTATAAGATAGGGCCAGGGACTAATGAAAGTATTTAGAAAACTGGGCAGACTAGATGGGCCGAATGGTTCTTATCTGCCGTCACATTCTATGTTATATGTTTCTATACTCGTTCTAAGAGTGATATCACATCGAATTTCCGAGTACACAAATCAGCTCTATAACAAAATGGAAAGTAAGTGGTGGCATTTGAGTTAGGCTGAGCAATGTAAAACAGATGTTAGCTCATGAACACATGTTGTTGGGAATGGAGTACAAAAGAGGTCTTTTGTTTCCAAAGCAGGGAATATAAACTTGCAATGGACCAATCAGACTGTATGCAGATTGTGGTGACTTAAGAACCAAATCAAAAATATCAAGAAAGTAAAAACAAAAATCCCAACTCTAATGTGTTGGAAATATTTGCCCACCATGGTTACTTTAGCCTACATTATGCAAAATAAATTCTCACATCATAACACCACATAAAAACTCCACAGCAATATATGTACTTTTCCCAACACTTATAGCATTCACACCACTAAATTGACACGTTTACAATATATGGATAAATAGTGGCTACATTATAATTCCTGCTATTTTAAAGAAATTTTATAAAATTAATAAACATTTTTCATACTCATTTTTAAAGTAGTTTAGATAAATTAAATGTGTGCAAAAAACAAAGCTAAATCATCTGAAAAATCGATTTTTTTAAATAAAATTCAGAAGCTTATTTTTATATTTTCCTTGAGGCATATTAAAATATACTGTTATTTTACATTAGTTCATAATAAAATGCTCCAGTGAACCAAGATATGGCCAAGCCTGAATTTCTGATGTAACATCCGTTACTGGTGGAAGAAATTAGTTAACTCGGCTTTTATTTCCCATTTTATATCTAACTGTCATAGAGGATTATAATATAGAACAGTATGACAGCTTGGAGAGGAACTTGACATTCCATATGATGTACAAAGCACACCGACGCAGTTGTTGAAATGTTGTTTTATTACCCAAAAAACAGTAGCTAGTGTGTATTAAATCAACAGTATTCATTTTTTTGGTTATATCAAACCATAGCTACAATATGAATAAAAAATACTGCTTTTACGTAAACAAAACAGTAACGACTACTATGGCAACTAATATACAACTAGCTAATGCCACGTACATGAAAATTTTACAGTATCTGGATTTCTGTTTTTTTTTCTCATTCTTCTTCAAAAGAGAATCGTAGCCCGGTGTGTAAATGTCTTCCAGCCAATAGCGCAGATCATTAGGATTTTCCTAGTAAACGTTAATTTTATAATTAGTAAAAATATATAATTTGACAAAATAATAATAATAATAATGACTAACTATAAATAAGATTTTACTCCATAGCTCAAACAATGTTTACTTTCAAAAAGACGAGACAGTGTCTTAAATGTGTTAAGTAACGGTTGTTCCTAAAACAGAGGCTGATCAACAAAATTACTCTGGAAATATTAATATGAAATATAAATTAGAGATATATTTCACACTTAAAAAGAAACAATTTATTTAAAAATATATGACTTGTCTTACAAAAATAAATAGAAAACTATATAATAGAAATAATTTTCCCCTGACATGTTGCTCTTTCTAGTCACAGCATGAAGCTACTAGTATAAAAATATGTATTACCCCATGTTTGTTGAAAACAAGAATAAACACATGGAAAAAGGAAAATCAGTGTTTAGGAAATACTTAAATATTTGTTAAGAGCTTTATCATTTATATCAAAGTAACAGTTACTTTTTGCTTACTTTAAATGAATGAGGTTGGTTTAAGATGCTAGACAATTCACAATGGTTTTCACAATGAAAAAAATAAATACTTTCAAAAAAGTCACACAAAGGAAACTTGAACTACCTAGAAAGGTCTCTTAATGCCAGGTATAGGCAAATCTTTGCCACTCCAGATGTCTGGACTACATCTCCCCTAATGCATTGCCATGATTATGGCTGTAAGAACATTAAAGGGACACTACAGAAACCAGAACAACTACAGCTTAATGTAGTTGTTATGGTGAATATAATCATTGCCTTCAGGCATTTTCATGCAAACACAGCTGTTTCGGAGAAAAGGCAGTGTTTACATTGCCCCTAGGAACACCTCCAAGTGGCCACTCCTCTTATGGCCACTGGAGATGCTTCCTGGGGCAGTGCTGCGATTCAGCATCTCCACACTTTGCATGGGGACACTGAATTTTCCTCATAGAGATGTTTTGATTCAATGCATCTCTACGAAGAAGTGCTGATTGGCCAAAATGGCAATTGGCCCCACCCCCATCCTTCCTCCTTGCCCATTTTAGCCAACCCAATGCTTTCCCTAGGGGAAAGCATTGGAATGGCTAAAAATGGGCAATTCTGATTATGTCATTAAGGAGGCGGATCGGGGGCGGGGTCAGTGCCGGCAGACCCGCGCACACTGGAAATAAGGTGAATTTTAATTCCTTTTAAGGGGACCGAGGGGGGCAAGCCATCTAAATGGTGGGTTTAACAATATAGGGTCAGGAATACATGTTTGTGTTCCTGACCCTATAGTGTTCCTATAAGGGAGATATAGTCCACAACATCTGCAGTACCGAAGGTTGCCTACCCCTGCTCTATGCTCTGCCAATCACATATGCCCTAATGTATTTGAGTGTCCACTTACGATATCCTCCCACAGGTGAACAAAATGGAAATATGTGCATATGTATTGTTGGTAGTTAGAGGTACATTTGGGGCTCTAGCACTGATTGATGGAGATAATTTATTTTTTAAGTATTATTATAAATTTATTTTTGCAAGACAACAGAGTGCTGATATATAAAGGCATAGTCCGGAGATAGGTGTTTTATTTTTTATTACAATTGGATCTAATGCCTTGCCTCAAATTTAAACAATGATGGTGTAAGTGTAGCCCTCACTTATTTTTGTTCACCCAGACATCAGCACACAAATATGCGAAATCCCAGCAAAAATGTTCTTTACTTTTTTTCATACAACCCGTGGCTGTAAATTAGATAACAGTTCCTGTTATTTTGTGGTTTCCTTAGCTCAGTGGAGCTAAACTAATGAGAAAGAAATTGCTCAGATTACCTGCCTTGCAAATACTTCTCAGTGAGCTGCATCAGGAAATCTGTGATTGGACAGTCACAGAAAGTCTGGGCGGGGTTAGAAGGGGACTTGCAAAGGCTGCAGACAAGAGATCTGCAGCCCTTGCAAGCTGTTTTTAGATATAAAACCAATAAAAAAAAAATCCATAATTAAATGCATACGTTTTCATTGGAGATATATACACTAAATATTGCAGATTTATTTATTTCGCTAGTGGAGTGTCTTTTTAAGAATAACCAGTATTGCCTCCATAAATATTACCTTTCTTTCATGGTGTTGCAAATAATTATGATACACGAATACAGTTTGGGTTGGGCTAGCAACTGGGGGTGATAGAGTTACTAGTCTATTTTTGGATTAATCTTGGCAGGTCTTGTCAACCACATGAATCTGATTTTATAATAGATCATAGAAAGTATGATCCTTTATTTTGAGAGCTTTCTTTTTAATATTATGGATGTGAGGCATAAACTTTGCATACTATTTAAGTTTACAAAATAGATGGGATTTAGTTTTGTTTTGTTTTTTCCCTGAATACAGCATTTGGCAATGTATCTTTCTTAAAAAAAAAAAGCAGTCAAGAACAAAGCTGTCCAGTGTAATTAAAACCATTACAATGAACAAACATGACATGCTTGTTTGGCGCAACACTAATCAACAGGCTTTTTTTTTTTACCCTGTTCATGTTTACATAGATACCTGTCCTCGACTTTACAGCTCTGAGCTGTACTAGGCATATTGGAGTTCAACTACCAATAACATTCTATAGTGGATATCCATCCGTTTGTGAGTAATATCTGTCTTTTGTGCAAGAAAAGTGCAATAAAGAAATCAGTGTTTGATAACCGTTTATTGTGGATATTGAGCTGCATATAAAATGCACTAAACCTAAATACAATTTTTATCACAAGTAACTGAACACATTGCTTTTTAACCAATTGGAGTTGTTCACTAAAGTGAGAATTCAGAGTGACTTTCTAATTTAAGGCCAGAGTAGCCAAACTGAAAGAATAGCTGGTTTCGAGAAGTTTTCCAGTTCGGCTGTTTTACCTTAAATTTGACTTCACTTTGAATTCTCACTTTAGTAAATAATGTTGAATATGTTCTAAATCTGCCCGGACTTGTGTTTTGCTTTGATATTTCTAGATTTTTGTGCCCTTCCAACACAAGAAAGAATAGTCCATCATGCAGATCTCATCTGTGGCATATGATTAAATGGTACATGTCAATGCTATGTTATATTGCTACTTTAAGGGAAATTGTCACTTTTCTGGATTTTTATTATTTTGTATTCCTATTTCATTTATTTAACGGAAAAATATTTGTGAGGTGTGGAAAATATTATAAAACATAGAAATCTACACCTCTTCATTATGCACCTGGGTGCCTCCATCTTGGCTCCCTGTCAATCATTGTTATAAATTTTGTCAATCACACCTGGCAGTCAGCATAGAGAAAGCACACAGACAAGTGAAGAAATGAAACAATGTTTCTATGTCTCCTCTTCACTTTCAATGTTTGCCCCAGCTTTCCCTTGTCTGAATGGGATTATAATGTCAAATCTTTAATATAAATGTAAAAGAAAATAGAGCATCTCATAAATAGATGGTCCAATATTTTATTCCATAATTCCAGAGAAGTGTCAGTTCCCCTTTAGCCAGCTGGACTTTTAATATATCTGTTAACAGAACAGTACCTTCAGGTACAGAGAAATATTTGAATTTGGAGACTGTTTATCATAATCCTCGATGGTCCATGACGGCCCCGTCTTCTTTGGTTCACTTTTCTCTTCTCTTCTTACATCCAGGAATAAAGGATTACTCTTAATTGTAGATTGTATTATTTCTGGAGTGATGTGGCTGCGAAGTGCATTATCTTCTAATGTAGGACTTTCTGTTGTTGGTGACTGCATAGGCATATCATTGTCCCTCTGTTAAAGAAAGGAAATAAAATTGTATAAAACAACTATACACAACATATAAAATACACAAAAATACAAGGAATGTACAAGTCAGTGTAACCTCTTTAAAATGTTTAACATGGACACATGGAATTAAGAACTAGCATGTCATTAGCAGTAGTACAATCGTGTCTGTATGTGTGTTTATGAAGAAATAAATAACGAGAATGTATTTTTATACTCTTATTTACTTTTGCTAATTACCACAATAATTTTATAAAGGTTTAAATATATAACAAATATACAGAGATTAATAAGTACATTCTTCAAGTAGATTTGAAAGCCTCTAAATAACATGCAAATAACAAAAGTGACAGAAATGTACAGAACATTATTTATTTGAACACAGTCTTTAGTACTCTCTCACCATTGGGTGCCTTATTCTCTTTTTAATTGAACCTTAGCATTCTTGCATTTTTGTATTTTTTGTGTTGTACCCTATTTGCTATAGTACGCTGGCAAATCTGTTTTTGTTTTGTTCTAAGTACTTGGGCTGATGAATTGCTGTCACCCAAGAGTTGTGGGAGTTTGAGCTCAGGGCTTATTTCTATGTGAAATATCAGTATACGCTGCATAGTATTGACAAAATGTCATATACACCATATAAACCAAATGTCATATAAATCATGTAAACATATAACCCAAAGTAGATCGAAAAACTAATTAACTAATTTATTAGATTGTGAGCTGATGTGAGAGATAAAAAGTAAACAGAAAAAAAAAACAATAAAGAACTACATTTTGACAATTATAATACTTAAAACATGTTGGCAATTATTTTTAAGTTGATGAGTCAATGGTATATGAATGAGAAAATAAAATTAGTTTTGCATTCAAAAACCCATCAAATAATCTGCAGCTGGTCACTCTTTTAAAAAATATAACATGTTTGCTCTGAGACCACATCTTACCTGCCAGTATATTTTGTTGCGCCATTGTCTGGCCTGCAGCACCCCAGAATTTGCAATTAGAGCCCGTACATCTAAACGGAGGAATTTGTCTGGGTGATTGTTATTCGGTAACACAGATAGATCCATGCTTCAGGCTCATTGTATAAAAAGAGAGCTATTACGTCTCAGAGCAGTTCCGGTTTTACTTTTACATTATTCATTAAACAGACAATGATCTCGTAGGTGAATGAAATTTTATCTGGTTAACCTTCCATCTACTAAAGAATGCATTTAAACCGTCCAAACATAGGGAACCTTTCAATTTCTGCTTTTAGCTACACTAGATGACATTGCAATAGTGCAATATCAGTATCACTAATATAGTGATTAAAGTAAAGGAAAATTATTACAGCCTGTAATAAAATAAAATGTAAAGAAAAACAACAGGAAAGCAATTGAAAGAATACATAATTGTGACATGTGTTTTTATTAAAATCATGTGACGGAGGAATTCTGGAGACCAGGCCATAGATCGAGAAGTTTATGATTGTCTCCAGAATCCCGTGATAGCATTATTTTCCCCAATATATTGTGCAGAGATGTGTCTTATTTACATTGCATGGCTGTTTTATGTATTGTTTTGCTTTTTTGTTTTTTTCTAATTAATATTTTTTTCTCATATGCAAGAAATTGAAAATGAAGACACAATTCAACTATGGTCGATGTATTACCTTTGAACTTAAGGAGAGTTGCTGATCCCCCTGCAGAGTGCATGGACTCTAGGCAGCTGCACCTTTTGTGTTTCATTAAAAACCTCTCATGTCAACTTGAAAACTTAGATTCTTCATGGCCATCACATATTTTAGAGATAAACTAAGCAGAAGGAGGTAACTGCATCACCAAAGTCTCAGGTATGGGGTTTGTATTTCTCATATAGAATTCCTTTCAGTTTAGTTTACATCCATTTAAATTTTACCACACACAGGGCAAGGCCTATCAGAGAGCAATTTCTCTTGGAAGC